TCTTTCCTGTTATTACTCTCGCATCACAATTTGCTGACGTTATAAAGAAAATTAATTTTCTTAGCTAAAAATATTTCAATGTATTGACTGAAACAGGAAATAGAAAAAACGGAGAGGATTTTTTGTCTTTGATGAATATTCTATGATGTATACTTTACAGGGGAAATTAAAATCCAGGATAATTTAAAATTACCCTAGCAGCATTAAATGTATGATTGTTTCGATTCCTTCTTATAAAATTTAAAATAAATAATATCAGTATCGTGCTCTATAGCAAGCAAGAAAGAGAACGAGCAAAACAAAAAAGGAAAAAAACCCAGCATTTAAGTGTATATAATGAGAAAAGCTGTGGCAAAAGCAACCATACATAAAGATAAATGTCACATTTAAACAATTCTATATTCAGTATGAACATCTTTTACGCAAAACGTGACGCACATTTTCAAACTCTCAACGAAAAGTTTCGTACAAAATATTTGACTGAAAAGGAAATGTACGAAGAGATCATTTCGGTTTTACGAGATGGTTGGGGTGATCCACAAGGCTGTGGGTATTGCCATCACCTGACACCCATACACTCGTCTGGAGAGTCCTGTAGCGAGGACAAATCATGATAACGGAAACTAGACGCAGTCTCACCCTATTCTCAAACATGCAAAGGCAACGACTCTTTCAGCGAAAAACAAGCGCGAAATGCACAATAGCGAAAGAACCTCATCATCCAATCCTCTCTGTGATTGTTTTTTCGGTGAAAGCTTTTCCACGAAAAGTCTTTCACGGATTCGTACCAATGCCGTCTTCTGGAATCCACGAACACTATTTTTCTTTTTGGATAGGATCAGTACGTTAGAAGTAATAGGAGTCGCTTGAGAGTTGGAGTAGGTGTGGGTGTGAGAGTATAATATCTGTCGTTAACCTTACCCCGGCTCCCACACCCATACCTATACCCACACCACACCCACCCACACCCACACCCACCCACCTACACCCACAACAAAGTCATCTATGTTGTATTGAAATAGTTGTTCTATTATACAAAAAAATAAAACAGTACATAACTTGATAAAGAAATCATTTCACAAATTAGTTTTTTTAATGCGACATCAAGCTTGCATCTGAATACCTCACAGAGAAACTTTGTCTAACTTCAAATAATATATCATTTGATAAAACATGCTCTATGTGCAAAATTTCACAAAGCTCTTTTCATTAGTTTCGCCATAAAAAATTTCATACATTCATCAAACTAATATGGTGTCTGACATAGAGTGTAAAAGAGAAACTAATTCGGCGGAAGAACTGTATTTCTTTGTTTACCTTTATTCAGTGAAAATGTCGCCTACACGCTAACAAACTGCAGTAATTATGTAGACAGAGAGAAGAAAATTTGAAAAAAATAACAATAAAATGAATTCGGATTGTTGGCTTCTGTTTTATTCGTTCTTTCGATAATATCACCAAAAAGTTTTTTTGCTTTGTTCTGTTTCTTGCTCTGTACAATATTATTTTCAAAAGTAACTAAGCGGATTTGTCCTTGAGCAACATAAAAAAACATAAACATTCGAAGTCGGCGAAAAATCGAGAAAAAAAAAGTCAGTGCTTATATAACTAGACGAGACCACTTTTAGCTTTTCATCAAATCAATCATTATCAATTTCATTCCACATAGAGAACTAGTTTACATTCTAAGGCAACATGGATGCACAAAAATCGAAAGAAAATCCCACAAAAACATCAAAATCAACGACGTCGTCAAATATTCGTCAGCGGCGACAACGTATAACACAAAACTACCTTCTCGTATGGGTAGACGCCAGCATCGAAGAAACAAACAAGGACTGCCAGGATACATTGGCTCAATTGAAGAATGTGGTCAACGACGTTATCCCATCCACGAAACCGGATCAATGCGTCCAAACGCTCAAACGATTTGATCATGAAACAGCCTTCGTTATAACATCGGACTCATTAGGTCAACAATTGGTTTCTGAAATTCACGGCATGCCACACCTAGATACCATATACATCTTATGTAGCAACAAATCCAGATATCAAGGATGGACACAAAACTGGACAAAAGTTAAAGGTGTCTATACAAATATCAAAGAAATCTGTCAAGAATTGCAATTGGCTGTTCAACAGTGCGACCAGGACACAATTGCCGTAAGTCTTCTTACGATAAATGATATGGCTTCGTTTAACTACTTAAATCAGTACGTTCCAGTTTTTGTATGCATACAGCTATTCAAAGAAATTCTCCCAGATATCAAGTACAGTTCCAAGGCAATCCAGGACTTAGCAGCTTGTTCCCGCGAAGTCTTTACTGACAATTCAATTGAATTAAAAACTATTAATGAATTCGAAAATGATTATCATCCAAAACGAGCAATATGGTGGTATACACGTAAGTGTTTTATCTACAAAATGTTCAATCAAGCACTTCGAATGTTGAATGCCGATATAATCATTAATATGGGCTTCTTTGTACGTGATGTACATCGACAAATTCAACAGCTGTACGAACAACAGGTCAGTAGTTATGGTGAAATGTCTTTTATAGTTTATCGAGCACAAGGTCTTACAAAATCAGACTTTGAAGAACTTCAAAAAACAAAAGGTGGACTTATGTCGTTTAACAATTTCCTGTCCACCAGTAAAAATGAAAAAGTATCCTTCGAATTTGCTCGACGTGCTTCAGTAAAACCGGTCATGGTGGGCATTCTATTTATAATGTCCATTGATCCCTGTATTAAATCAACGCCATTTGCCTCGATCAAAGGGGAAAGTTATTTCAATGAAGAGGATGAAATTCTCTTGTCAATACACGCTGTCTTTCGAGTGAGTGCAATTAAACAAATAGACAATGAGAATCAACTTTATCAAGTTGAATTACGACTAACATCAGACGATGATCAACAACTACGACTACTTACTGATAAGATACGAAAAGAAGCTGATGGTACTGGATGGCAAAGATTGGGTAGTTTATTGGTTAAAATTGGTCAATTTAGCAAAGTTGAAGAATTTTGTAACGTATTACTCGAACAGACATCTGATGAGAGTGAAAAGGCGCTTTACCATAATCAATTGGGACATGCCAAACATGCTCAGGGTGATTACGAAAAGACTATTTGGTATTACACAAAAGCACTTGGAATTCAAGAAGAAACTCTTCCTTCAAATCATTCTGATGTGGCTACTTCATACAACAATATCGGTTCAGTGTATATAAACATGGAAGAGTACCCGAAAGCACTTTCATATTACGAAAAAGCACTTGAAATTCAAGAAGAAACTCTTCTTTCAAACCAAAACTCGTTGGCTACTTCATACTGCGGCATGGGTAATGTGTATATCGACATGAGAGAGTATTCAAAAGCACTTTCATTTCACGAAAAAGCACTTGAAATCAAACAAAAAACTCTTTCTTCAAATGATCCTGATTTAGCTATTTCATACAACAACATCGGTTTGGCGTATGACAAAATGGGAGAGTACTCGAAAGCGCTTTCATCTCACGAAAAAGCACTTGATATTGAACAAAAAAATCTTCCTACAAATCATCTTCATTTAGCTACTTCATACAACAATATCGGTTCAGTGTATGTAAACATGGAAGAGTACCCGAAAGCACTTTCATTTTTCGAAAAAGCACTTGAAATCTTTCAAAAAACTCTTCCTTCAAATCATCCTCATTTGGCTACTTCATACTACAATATCGGTTCGGTTTATCGAAAGATGAAAGACTATTCGAAAGCACTTTCATATTATGAATGTGCTCTGGACATATGGCAACATGCATTACCTCCAACTCATCCTCATATTAAAGATGTCAAAAAGATTATTGAAATGATAAAAGTCATATTGTAAAGAGTATTTTATGAATAAATAAAAGAATCTTTAGTTCGCTTATTTTTAAATGAATTCTAGTTTAGAGTGACGCACGCGCTCGTACAGAGAAGAACTCTGTGAATAATAAAAAACGCAATAGACCAAGCCGACTGATAAGGTAATACAAACACATACGTATGTATATAAATAATGTGTTCAGACATATCTACATTTCTAATTCTTTACGAGAGTGCTCCTTGTAATAAAAGAAGAATAACTAATGTGAAACTGAATTGTAATAGTGTCAAACGAGACTTCGTATGGTGAAGAGAAAGTTAACAAACTGCAATATACATACTGACATGTTGTCAACACATGGGCTACCTGAATCAATCAATTAGTACTCATCGTTAACTAGAATTAAATAAAAAGAATAAAGATAAGCATGGGACATATGAAAGAACTGTTTTCACTTGATCCGACTCTTTGACATCGTCGTATTAATTTTTTTAATTGAATTGATCGATATGAAGACATCTGTTCAATCAGAAGAAGATGCACACACTATCTTGGGGGTATGGGTATGAATACTGTATTCACCTAGCACCCACACCCTCAAGATGATATTGAAGTCACCAACACCAACATCTACTTTCAAGATTTTCTTTTTTGATTGAACTAATGATTATGAATTTTTTTTATGTGATTTTCAACATTATTTTTTATTTATTAGGAGATTAAAATATATTACAACATCAATCAGAGAAAATAAATTAGCATACAAAATAACAGTAACAGAAAACAGAAAACAACATTTATTTTTAAGTATATAGTTAGTTCCATATTGATAAATTAAAGGCAGTGATAAGTAGTTGAAGAGAACTGGATGTCAGTCTATGAAGATATAACAGCGATTTCTGCCGTAGTAATTTGTCGATTATAAATACGTAGCTCGTCAACAACACCAGCATATGAATGAGGCTCGATAGCACCCCACATACAACTAGATCCTCCCATTTGTTGACTTCCAATACTGACATGCATTGATTGATACGGAGGAGTCATTGGTGCACCTACAACTGTTTGATATAATGTACCATTGATATATAGTTGAAGACCATTTTGTATACTAAATGTTTGAGCAATATGCGTCCAGACATTTAATGAAAATGTAGGAACCGCAATTATCAAAGATGAGCTTTGTGCAATGAGAATAACAGATGAATTGAAGCCTAGTAATGGCATACACCATCCATCACCAGTTGATTGATTGGCTACATGAACAAGAATACCACGAAGATTCACAGGTTTCATTCAGAGAGCAATCGAAGATGATTGATTAGCAATACCAAATGTCATAAAAGAGGATGTTCGAAAATAACCATTTGTTGAAATGAATAAGAGAGCATCTTACACTCGACCATTGATCATTGTTTGTCCAACTGCAAAACTTTGAAGAAGATTTGGACCTGAATCAAGAATAGAACCACAATCAAATGAATAATAAGCGATAAAAGTGGCATCATTCAAGATTTCGTTAGCAGTTTTTGCTCGTTGTGTAACAAATATTTGATCAATGTAAGTTATGGCGCTTAATGGCGAAGTAATTGTTTTACAAATTGTTACTGGACCACATTGACCAAGGTAACCAGTAGAAGATAGTGAACTAGACAAACTGATATTTTCGACCAATCCGTTGACGTATATTTGACGCTGTCTAGCAGTATTATTGTAGACGAATGCAATATGATACCATTGATAATTTACAATACTGCTGGAACCTACACTGTCATCGTAGAAAAATCCCATGAATGGTTTTGAAGCATTCTTAAGTTCTAAATGAAGACATGTGTGACTAGTACCATTCATACATTCGCCTAATAAACCTATATCGCCATTCGTACGATTATTAATATAGAACCAAAATTCAATAGAAAAACTTCGACGATAAAAATCAATGTAAGGCACGGTGATATATGGTGTACCAGAACACTGTATAGCGTGATCTATGTATCCCATCACAAATGATGGATTTCCAACTAATGTACCATTATGTGTATTAGTGAGATCATTGGCATTACCATCTAGTGGCCAATAGGCTGCCACACATGGATCAGGTGGCTTCGAACTTGGACAAACTGTTTGACCAATTACTGAAAGAATAAAGATAAATTATTTGAATAAGTGCATCTCACTCTACTCTACCTACCACATGATGCATTGTTCCAAGAAGCTGTCGAATTGCATATACATTTCTGACAATTTGAAGAACATTGAAGACCAATATCTTGACGACATGCTTCATCCATTGTGCATGTATCACCATAATAAACTTGATTTAAACACATTGAACTGTTCCAGAATGTAGTTTTTGGACATTGTCATACATTGTCAACACATATTAAGTAACGATTAGATGGTAATACATGAGGATCACACATTTGATTGTACATAGCATAAAGTGATGGATAATAATAAAGACCACCGACACGAGATGTTAATGATGAAGATTTAACAATAGTTCCTGTATCGATCGATCCTTCATAAAGGCGACAGACAGAAGGTAATACGATGTCACTGACAAAAGTGCGACATAATGGATTCATGTTACATTGGATATAACATAAAAGAAACGAGTTCATACCAGTATAAGTAGTGATTAGTTCAACCGGATTTGCTGGTAAAAAGTCAAGTCCAGGTGCTTGTAAATTCAAACTTGACTGCATTATTTGACTTTGAACAGTATGAATCGATATCAGAACTAACCCTAATACCGACCACCATATTGTCGATAACATTTTGTGTGATATGAAGTTGTAGTGAGAAATAAAACAAAAGTATCCAACAGTTATATACGTCGCAGAAGATTCATCAAAGAGAAAAAAATCCTCTCGATTTTTTCTATTTCCCGTCTCAGTTAATAAGTTTAGAATATTTTTAGGTAAAAAAATTAATTCTGTTTTACGTCAGCAAAGTGTGATGTGAAAGTAATAACAGGAAGGGGATATAATTTACATTCGATATTGTTGTTTTCATAATTAGAGAAACACATTTGATAGCATAAAGTATTGTACTTTAAAAGTAATTACCTTTACTAATAAAAACTGTTTTGCACGTTCATACTAAATATGAGAACATTATACGGAGTAGTCATCGATAGTGCAGACTCAAATTTCTAAGAAAAGCAATACATTTTCTAAGCGAGTAATAAAAAATGTTTTTCCATTCCACTACTTCAACATAATAATTTATTTATTTTCTTTCTTTGTTTTTTAACACAAATTCATTTACAATAGTATCTAAATTAATATCAAAACTATATTCAATGTTTATTTAAAATAAAATGATTCAGGGTGTGGGTGTGAATAGAAAGACTAGACACCCACACCAACAACCTCAAGATTTCTTCTATTCATGATCTATTAATATATACCTTCATAGAAATATAAAATAATGTTTTATATTATTGAAGTAAAGCCGCTTTTTTTCGATCCATTCCTTTGAAAATCTGTAAGGTTTTCTTATTATGCACTTTATACGCGAAAATAGTCTGACGAAATACAAAATTAGATTTTCAAAGTGTTAATAGTCATCATTTGATGAATGAAAATAATAATAATGAAATGAAATAGTAAATATTAATTTGTAATAGAAATAATGTTCAATAGGACTTTTCTATGTTAGTGATGAAGTAAAAACAAATTCGAATAAAAGAAGTATCTAACGATACTAACAACCAATATTAAACTAATAGTTTTTATCTCCTTGTAATTCAATATCACTCATTAACACAATTCTGCCATTCAACATCAAAAAATATGTATGATTAACATTGGTAGCCATAATATGATATATAACTATGAAACTTTTATCACAAATTAATAAACCCTTATTTCAATGAATAAATTATGAAATAAAGATATCTTGATGATCAACTGTAGATAATGATATGAGAACACAAAAGTTCTCTATATAGTTCATTAAATTATATTTGTCAAACTATATTCTTTCTTTCTTCTGTTCAATATCTTATCAATTTAAGTAAGCCAAGCGTAAATAACTCCTACCATCATTATATTTGATTCGATCATGTGATTGATTAGTATAACTATTATTTTTGATTGATCTAAAGCTAATGATCCATTCAAATACCGTTTATTAACAAAGTTAATTCAATGGTTGAAAAAAAGATTCATATATAATTATCATGTTTCTATTTCTTATAGAGATAAAGAAAAGAAATCATTTTCTACTTCATATCATATATCAACTAAATCTATTTTATGTAACAAATATTTCTATTAATTTCCAACTACGTAGTTTCAAGGTTAGTTATTACTCTTTCAATGAATTCTTTGTTCAAAAATTTCAATGGCCATCGGTTGTCAAATAAGCGATACTAAAAATACGAACACCTGTTTCTCACTTTCTCTTCCATCTAGCATATGTTGTTGTTTGTATGCCAGCAATGTAAAGTTTTTTTTTCTCTCTCATGTAGTTGCTAGTGTTTCTCTTCTCTTACTGCTTCAAGTCTCATCAGACAGAACACGAAAGAGAACATGAATATTTTTTCATAGATGTTATTTTAATAGTACAAAGTGATTTGAGTGTTGTTTTTTTTTTCATATGTTTGAAATAATTATAGTGTGCATGACTGCATCAGTCTCATAAATTCGAGAGAGTATTATCGATGAGTTTTAGTTAAAAGTAAGTGAATATTATTCACTGTCGTATTAAAATCAACATCATCATTATCAAATCACGTGCTATCGGTCATATAGAGTGAAATATAAAAGAAACTAAGATGACCGTTGTACGACAAACGAATGTATGAATAGGGAAAAGAAGAATCATTTATTTCGCTTCTCGGACACGACGGTTAGAGAGAAAGAGAGACAGAGAGGTGAACTTTTCTTCTTCCTGTTCAGCCGATTATCAACATTGAATGTATACTTTTCTCCCCCTGTCTTTCTCTCTATGTATATTGTCCGATCGTCAACTACTACACGAAGTGAATTGAACATAAGACGAATTTGATCCCTTTGTTTAGGGTCTTCTCATCTTTTTGCTTACTTTCACCTATAACGACCTTGACTACTGAAAGAATAACTTTTTTTCAACATCAGTGGTAAACGTCGTATCTCTTATTCATCAATATTATCAAATGCCTTTGGTACGTATTAAATTATATTTTTTGAAATATAGAAAAAGTGACAATAGAAAGAAAGAAAATAAATTCTGTTTCTTTCTATATAACTTGTTAATCTTATTGAATCTATATTATTTGAGATGATAAAATTGGATTTTTTATTTTGAATAGATAGAAAAGAAAATATTTGAATTGTATGTGAGGAGGATGAAGAAGATCAATATTCCTTTTTTTGTTAACCCTTAAATGTAATCGATATTTAATCATGTATTCTTCCCAAACGTGCAAAATGGACTAGTCATTGAGCTTTTTATTCATATATCTATGTACGTGCTGTTTACCTGCTCTAGTTGTGTGTTCAAGCTTTTGTTTTACACATTCTCTTTTCTATTTCTATTTGTATACGTAGATCGACAATAACCACAACAATAATAACAACAACAACAATAATAATAATAACAACAATAATAATAGATTTAGTCTAACTGATGATGAGACATCGGATTGTATTCAAGTTACATTGACAAGAGTAAGTTGATTATTGTGTTTTTTCAACCTGATCGATTCCTTATCATAATCTCTTTAACATGTTCGTGCTAAAATTGATTTTTTTTTCGTCGTGTTATTATGTGGGCCTTCTATAATATGACGTTGACGTAATCAACCGACAAGTGACAATTGAGTCACTAACACCCTGAAGGCGGCTCTCTTTCGTTCAAGATATTGATTTATGATAGAGGACAATAGGTAGAAAAAAAAGGAGAAAATGATTTTTTTATTTTAGTCACCATTACATGGTTTTGGTATAGCTATTAGTGGTGGTAATAATGAAAATAGATTGATTTCATACTATGATGAAAGTCAAATTGATAATCAATCATTAACTGTTTGTGAAGTTATTAAACATGGACCTGCGGATGGTAAACTTTTGTAAGTTTTCTTTATTTGTTTTTAATATTTAATAAATATTTCTTATTCAATCAGACCCAATGATCAAATTGTAAATGTGAATGGTCATCCTGTTATACGTCATATGGAACATACGGCATTAAAATTAATTCGAGAATCAACTGATTTTGTTAATTTAGTAATTATAGTTTTATGAATAATTTATAAGAAAAACGAAATCTTTCAATAGGTTGTTCGGCGACGAAAACATCCAGTTATTGTATCGGATAGTGAACCACCTATCAAATGTATATTAAATAAAACACGTAAAGAAGAAAAATTTGGTGTGATTCTTGGTTGTCGATATTTTATTAAAAAAATTCAGCATGCAAATAATGATATGTTTGCGAATCTTCAAGAAGGCGATGAAGTAATTAAGGTAAAAATAACTGATATTTTAATGAAAAAAAGAAGAAATTTAATTAAAAAAACCTTTTTTTTTCTAGATAAATGAAACACCTGTTGATCGTTTAACATTACAAGAAGCACAGAAATTAATTGATAAAGCTAAAGAACGACTTGTTCTTTTTGTTATACCAAATAAATTAAATGATGATAAATCATCAGTTCATCGTAAGATTGACATTATTCTTATGCTTTTATCTTGTTGTTGTTTTTTCTGTAAAATAGAAAATGGAGTAAATAATCATCTTGACTCAATCTCAGCTCCTATTCTTGTTCAAAATCATCCCTCATCTACACGTAAAGAATTACAAGCAGATTATAATCAACATGTATTTGAACGATCAACATTAAATCGTCAAGATTTTATACGACCTATGTAAAATCAAAAAGAAATTCTTTCATACATCTCATTTTTTTAATTTAGTACTGGAACAAGATATGTATCATTTTATACAGATACATCAAGTATAGGAATTCGTTTAGCAGGTGGTGATAAACATGGATTATTTATTTGTGAAGTACAACCAACAAGTGTCGCATATAAAGCAGGATTACTTGTTGCTGATAAAATATTTAGTGTAAGTTTAAGAAGATTATTTGTATCCTATCTGGTTTTTTTTATTCCTAGGTAAATAATACTGATTTTACAAGTTTAACACGTGAAGAAGCGGTTTTATGTTTGATGAATATGAAAACAGCACAAGTCAATATGATTGTTGCTAATTTACGTCATGGTTTGTATCTAGTTGTTTTGTATTTTTTGTTAATATTTAATTTTCTCTAAACAATAGATTATGAACAATTATTAGCTGATGTTGGTGGTGATTCATTTTATATTCGGTAAATATGAGAAAATAAAGATTTTGATTTTTAATTAATCTATTTATTTTTTTGTAGAGCTCATTTTACTTATAATACAGCAAATGATGAAGAATTATCAATTCGTGTAAATGATATTTTTCATGTTACTGATACACTTTATAATGGTCAAGTTGGTTATTGGGTTGCTACGAAATTAAATGCACCTTCGTCACAAAATAAAATAACTGGTGCTGTTCCAAATAAATCACGGTATAATAAGACAAGATTTTAGTTGGAAAAATATTCTTTTTTTTGGCGTTTTTATAGAGCTGAACAATTGGCAAGTATAGCTCCAAGTCTTGATAAATTAATGAAAACTAAACAACCATCCTTTAAACGAAAATTAAAATCAAAATTTGGTGATAAACGATCACGTTCTGTTTCCTCAATACATCATCTCAAAGAAGATTCAATTTTCGGTACGTTTTTTTCTTTGTTTGATTCATTCTAAAAGATAAGTCCTCCTCATTAAATGTATATGTATTTATAGCTAAAGCTATTTGTTGGAAGCGTAAGTCATTGTATATGATTTCTTTTTTACTTACACATCTTTTTGCTCTTGGCTAATCACAAATGTTTTTCGTAGAAAGAAATATTTTGAAAAAAAAAGATATTGTTTTAATAATGCTTACTATCAATGCTTTAACCTTGACGAAATAATGATTAAAATAATTTTATTAAATATTTTTCTTTTGATTTTTCTAGCATTGACAAATTCAAAATTTCCTGCATATGAACGTGTCGTACTTAAAGCTGGTAAGAGTATGAGATGATAATAAAAGATTGACTTTATTTATTTTATAATAGTAACTATCATACGTCCTGTGGTTCTTTTTGGTCCTTTGGCTGATATTGCACGTGATCGTTTGATTAAAGATTATCCTGAACTATTTGAATTACCCCGTAAGTTGAAAATTTTAAATTTCGTTTTCTTACAAAAAAATATTTATTACTAGGCATTGAAATGCATTCTCCTACGAAAGCACGTGCTAATGTTATTAAATTACAAAGTATCAAAAATGTTATTCAACGAGTAAGTTACATCTGACAGTTTTGTTTTTGTTATGTTTTCAATAACATGTATATATGTATTAGAATCGTCATTGTTTACTTGATGTAACTCCAACAGCAGTTGAACAATTAAATTATGCTCAATGTTATCCTATAGTTATTTATTTTAAAGCATCTGATCGTCGTCAAATAAAACAACTTCGTCAAGAATATGGCAAACTCTATCAAAAATCTTCGCGACGTTTATTTGATTCATCGGAACGTTTAGAATTTTTATATTCTTATTTATTTACATCAACAATAAAACTTGATACAACAACGAATTGGTATAAAATTTTAAAAGGACAAATTGAAATGCAACAAGAACAACCAATATGGATGAGTGACGATCGACCAGCTGATAAAGATTTACCTAATTCCGATGAATATTTTATTTCAACAAGACAAAGTTATTCAGATGATAATTCCAATCGATATGAATCTAGTCCAGATTCTGAAACAATGAATTTACATAATAAAAAAGGAAATAATTATTTACAAAGAGTTGCATCTGATCCTGTCGTATTTCCAAGAGATAAAATTGTAAAAATCATTCAAAATATTTCTTTTTCTGGATTTTTAAATGATTATTTTTCTTTAGCATTCATTTTCAAGTGATTTACATCGTGATCTTGAAGATGAAGAAGAGGACGAAGAAGATGATGATGATGATGACAGTAAGTGTTTATTATTATGTAGATAAGTTTAAATTTCGCAATAATTCTTTAGATAGTGCATTTGTCCCAAATTCTACCATGTCATTACCAAATCGTAGTCATTCCGTAACAGAAATTCCAACAACAAATGGTGAACAACATCATCGTCGATCAGTAATAATACATTCCAATTCAAATACAAATAATTCAAATTTTTATCCTAAATCTATATCTTATATAAAACCAATTAATGATATTAATAATAATAATAATTTTGAATCAAATGTTAATAATGATGATTTATTTCGAACAGATAAATATAATAACGTAAATTTCTTTAATTTTTGTTTTGATTTAAATTATTATTTTTATTGATGAAATTTTTCTAGGATAGAAATCGTTCAACAAATCAACGTTCGTATAATTCATTGTCCAATGGACATGTAGTCTATCGTACTGAGTCAATACCACATGTTGAACAAGATGATATTTATCGTTTACAACGTTTATATATTAATGAACAAGAGAAGTATAAAAATCATTTTGAAAATGAACATTTAACTAATACACAAAGCACAGCTAAGCTTATTCAAGCACCTTTCATTAAAGCACATGCACATGAAACAAAGTAATTTTTTGCATGTAATTTTATTATGCATGTTATCTTTTCTCTTCAGTGGGTCACAATCGAATACATTGAATGGAAAATCAAATCGAATTCCATCTCGACGACCACTTATTGCACCAAAACTTCGAACAATAAATCCAAATGAAAGACTTAGTTCAAGTGATAGTGGAGGATCTATTCAACATAATATGGCAAAACATTCAACGGATAAATCAACCATGACATATATAGAAAAAAATTTACCGATGAATAGTTATGCTACATGGAATAGGTATTAAACTAAATTATGATAATAATTTTGTAATTCATTTGAATTTTAGGCCTTTAAGTTCTTCATCATCTCGACATACAGCTTTACCTTCATGTTCAAATAGTCATAATTCTCATAGTAATAATAATGATCTATCTAATCGTATAATTCGTTGTACATCAATGGATACTGTACGTCGTAATGAACAACTTTCGTCAATTAATTCTAATGAAAAACTACGTACAGAATCATTATTAAAACAAAAGATGTGTTCAAGTAAAAAACATAATCATACATCATCTGGTACATTAGGATCATTAGAAAGTGCAAGATCACAATCGTTTTCTACAACAGCACATAATATAAATCATCAATTATCAACAAATCGAAATCATTATCAAAATGGTGAATATGCAATACAAAAACCACGTGTTTATACTCATGATGATCGATCTTTTCTTGGACAACAACAACAACTATCACAAAATATTCTTTCATCTTCATCAACATCATCAACATTAAGTGTAAAAGATAAAAGTATCAAAGAACTTGATGAAACAAGGTATTGTATAGATTTATTCATATCTTTTTGATATATATTAATTATAAAACTAGAAAAAAACATGCATGAGCATATGCTTTGCTTATCACCTTTTATTTTTAACTAATTGATTATTTAAACTATTTTTATTCAAGGATATATTCAACACAAGATGGATTTAATATTATTGGTAGTGCTCGTGGTGTGATGGATTGTTATGGTGGAAAATTATCTTGTCCATTAACAGGTATGATACTATTTTGATCTATTCAGTAATAATATACACCACATCCGATACTTTTTAGGTGTCTCAATATCTGTTCCAGCTGGTGCTATACCAGAAGGTGTTCAACAAGAAATCTATTTTCAAGTATCTCAAGATGGATCAAATATTCGTTCATTTAATGCTAAACAAGGTGAACGTTTATTAAGTCCAATTGTTTTATGTGGTCCACATGGTGTTCAATTTTTAAAACCAGTTGAATTAACTTTACCACATTGTGGTGGAGATGATGCAGATCAATTAGCTCTTATGCTTCATGGTGCTAATCAAAGTAAAATTTATTCCTGAAAAATTAAATATAATTATAAGATCTCTTTCATTCTAGATGGTTCAACAAATCATCAACAAGATAAATCTATGATGCTTAATGGAATAAATCATGTAACAAATTCAAATGTTTCTATACTTGTTGATCATTTCTAGTTTTTCTTTTTCATTCCTATTATAATTGCAATCATTTAATTTTGCTTTGTTTTTATATGTATATATACATATTATAAAAAAACTAGTTTTCTTCGATTGAAAGTTTTTTTTTTATTGCATTCTATATATTAAAAACTTGAGCGATATATTCAACAAATAAGAGTTTAATAAATCATAAAATATAAAGAAATTATATATGTTAATATTTAAAGAAGATTCACTAGAAAATATAGCGTACCATTTGCATTTTTAACAGTCATTATATCATTAATAATATAGTATGAAATTATTTTTGCAAAGTAACTAAAATGCACATTCTATTTCAATTTGATTGCATGATTTATGTTAGTAAGTGTTTGTCATTCACTTATATTTTCTTTTGCTCATTCTTTTTCAAAAAACAAAAAAATGCTTGTGTCATTAACGTTCTGTATGACAAACTTGATACTCTTTTTCTAAAAATGAAAAGTGTCTAGCAACATAAATAAACAGAAGACATTATAACGTAAATAGTAAAGATCATAGAAAGAAAATTCTCATCTATACAACATGCGTTACCCATGTATTGGTTTTCCATCTTGTTTGAAAACATTTGAGAATGGTTATGTTCTTCGCAATCATCAACTATCCTGTGAACATGCACAAAGAGAAATAAATAATAGATATAATCGTCAAGAACATGCTCGAACAATTCGATATGATTATACGATTAATGGAATGAAAATGAATCAATTTTATCCAACAGCACACGGTTTAGATCATGTGGAAAAATTACATTTTCGTAATTTTTCTAAAGCTGGATATACAACAAAACAAGAACCATATCGAAGTCGTCTTCTCCCACTTGATTCATTAGTAGTCAAAAATCAAGCAAGATCAACGGCAATGGATTTTAGCGGCTATTATACATAAATATTCATATTTTCATATAATTTATTTCTTTTTTTTGTGTTCTAGAAAGAAAACTTCGACTAAATACAAAAAAAAAACCCTACATTTCAATTTACTACTTATTCTTTGAATATTATCATCATTCTAGTTTTTCTCGTATTCTTCTATTTAATTATATTGTTTCAATAAAAGGAAAATATATTTATATTGATTTAAATAAGTAAATATACGAACAAGAATTATTTCATAGGTTTCATTACTATAATCAAACATTACGAAAGAAAATAAAAAAAATGCGACGTTTATTTGTTGTACATAGGAGAATGACGCAGTTTTTTCTCACTATGAATGACTACATTCGATAAGAAACCGTTTAATTTATCATCAATCAGTAACAATGCTTAAAAATCTTTTTAGTCTAACGTACAAATAATTACGCTATTCTAATGATAATATACAATTAAAATGAATACAATAAAAGGCATTTACACTATCATAACATTCACTTAAGTGTGATGTAGTGTAATATGTATTATATTTTATCTTATTCTATGACTCTCTAGTGTGTCATGAATAGTATTTATTCGATTAAATAATCAAACGCAATAGATAAGACACGTCAGTGAAAAGTTCCCAGTACAAATTGTACTATATAAAGACTATCGAATATTATTTTATTATACAATTGTACAATGCAATTAATCATTGTTTTATTTGCTATTACTTTCATACTAATGTGTTTATTTTCAAGTTTGTAGCATTGTTTATTTCTATTTCAATATTTATTTGACTTCTTACTTAACTAGTCAGTGATCAACTTTCTCTTGGTCCACGTACTCGTGGTCGAGGTGGTAAAGTACGACATCATGAAATAAAGAAAGATCACAGAAGACGTGGATCCATCTTAGTGGGACGACCAGATGGTTTTCTGCGAGTTCACAAACATCATATTCACGCAAGTGACAAATATGACAGTACACATAAAGGTGCTAACCGTTTTCGACCTCCTCACAAGAGAAAAAATTAATGAAGAGACATGGCAACTGTTCATCTTTATTATTTTCTTTTTATTGAATGATAATTCGTATACGATACTAACAAAAAAAAAGAATACAATATCTCAGCATACAGAAAGTTTATTGCATTTCTGAACTCAAAAAAATCAAATTGAATGAATAAAATTGTGAATTTAAAATAAATCAGATAATCTTTTACATGATAATGAATAGATGTTTATTGAATGAATCACAAAATTAAAGAGTTTAAAGTGTCAAAAGAAATACTGCAGTCTATTTTTAATATCACTACTGAATATGTTCGCTATAAATTTGGTGTAGCTATTATAACCATGTTCACTGTTCAATTAATGATAAACAAAAGCAAGATATATTATTGTAACTAGGTTTTTATTTGCATTTTTTAATCAATTATAAAGATTTGTGTTTGAATTTAAGTATTGCAGTAGATGAACATGAGCAAAGAACACAAATTATATTACTTTTGTAGCACTGGAAACATTTTGATGAAATGAAACTCTAACAGAGTAAACAGATCCATTAATAATGCTTGATCTATGATCGGTAAAAATTGATAGAGTTCTCTGCACGATAAAAAAAATACTCTTTTAACATCGACATTGAACAGATCATCAAAATGTTTTTCGGTGATTGAATGCATTAGTGAAAAGAATTTTTTTTCTTTTTGAATAATATTGTAGAATTTGTCAAGATCGATTTTTACTATTAATTATTTTAATGACTTTATTGAGTGCTTGTTGTTGTCCTCATCCGGTAATAAAAACATGTTCTAAACCTTCAGCCATGAATTGTTTAGTGGTAATTAAAACAATTTTTCCATCAAATTTGTTGTTTATATCTTTTTGATATTATTTTGTTTCGTAGTTATTGAAAAATATTTTGTTTTAATACTTAAAAAGCTCGTTAATATAAAAGGTTTTTATACCTAAATAGATGACTACATCATGGTGTATATGTATTTTTTTCTCTCGTTCAAGGCTTTACCTACATGATGATGGTGATGATGATGTTGACTTATTCGTTCTCTATTTTCTTAAATATACCCCACAACGTCCTTGTGTTATACACATTTTCTATTCATTTTATATCGATTGTAATTATGATAAGTTTACAACATAATATTAATGATATTTTTATTACTAACGAACGTATTCTTAATAGTTGGAATGGTTTCAAAATATACAGATTTATTAAGGGTAAGAAAAAATTTATTTTGTACATTTTATGCAATGAATAGTATATTTTTTTTGAGCAATAGTAAACAGGGTATAAATTGAATTTAAGAATAAATAATAATACTTCCAAGTGATTGAATTCACTTAACATATATTAAATCCTATATTGTTATTTCTACTAGTAGCTGAATATTAGTCTGATGATAGCATTTCAGTATATCTATAAACTTATCTTTATACTTCCATTGAATACCTTGACTCTTGCGACATAGTTTGGTAGAGGGTGATACTTCCAATGAATCTACCTTTTCATTACAATTATTATCATATATATTGTATCGCATACTTTCGAAAAACAAACAAGAACGAAAAGGTTTGTAGTTTTTTTTAGTCTAGTAAAAGAAATGAGTTGAAATCTGTCAAGATTTTTTTCGAAAGATCAGACATACACTACAATGAATAATGATAAATAGAAGATTTATATTGTACATGATTCATTATTGAATCTATATAAGCGTTCCATTTAGACATATTATCGCGTAGAGTAAAACTAAATTTACAATCTTCAGCATTCATAATTAATCGCACGAGTAAACCGAAAAATAATTAGATTATATCTTGAAACTAACTTGGACGAAATAAAATTATAGATTTATTAAGATCTCGTGAGATGAGAATATTTTCTCATCCGTAATTCTACGCTTATTATAGAACTATTTTAAACTAATATTTTTCATTGAAATTCAATAGTAAATTAATTAAGTGTAATAATTAAATCAAAATAGTTTTATTAGAAATTTATAATTTTGTTCTCACTTAAAATCTGAACACGTGTAGAAATTTCACAAGACTTTTTATCACTTAAAATCAAGATACTTCTAGAATAATCGATATAATCATATGCACAAAATTCAAAGTGAAGACGAAACAATGGTTATATAAAACAAACACTTAAGATAATATAAGTATATTGACAAAGTAGAGAGAGTATGTCTATGTCATTGTTAAATTAAAATGTAAAGTGTTATATCAGACATATATATATATATACGCACAACAACTCTCGGCGACATCTTTGTTTCTCACTCAGCTGTTTTACTCATCAGTATCCAATCCGAAGTGTACCTACCTATGACATTATCCTTGATTTTTACATGACTAGCGCACACAAATCACAGTAAAAAATGACAAGTCCTTCTTCTAACAGTACTAATACTACGCCTAAAAACAAAGTTCCCGGTTCGATCTATCAAAATGACCGATTTCTTGAGTATGTTAAACATTTTTTCTTCTATTTAAATATTTTATTTTATTTTTTTTTATTTTCTAAAGATATGATTCAAAAATATCAAATCCTATCGATGAAACATTAGTTCCAAATACTTCCCATGATTTAGCTCATTCTCATCAATTAATATCACGTATGAATAAACTTCGTAAAGGTGAACATCTATGTGATGTTACACTTAAAGTTGATCAAACTCTTTTTCCTGCTCATCGTCTTGTCTTAGCAGCTGTCAGTGATTATTTTGCTGCTATGTTTACCGGAGAAGTAAATCCCAAAAAAAAGTTTTATTATTATATTTTATTTAAAAATATTTAGATGGTCGAGCGTCATATGAATGTTATTGAATTAAAAGGTTTTAGTGCATCCGTAATGGAAATTCTTTTAAATTCAATTTATGGTGAACCAGTAACAGTAACAAGTGAAAATGTTCAAGATATTCTTCCAGCTGCTTCTCTACTTCAATTAAATGGAACTGGTAATGTTTATTTATTTTATTTTCGTATATTCTTACGAACTTTTCTTTGTTTACAGATATTCAACGACAATGTGCACTTTTTCTTGCTAGTCATCTTGAACCATCGAATTGTTTAGGCATATATTGTTTTGCTGATTTACATAATTGCTTACAATTAAAACAAGCTGGTAATTCATCAAAAATATACATTTTTTGAAAAATTAAATACTATTAAATTTTAGCCTTATCATTTATTTGGTCACATTTTGGTGCTGTAGTACATAGTGAAGAATTTTTAACATTAAAAGCCAATGAAGTTGAAGACCTTATACAATCCGATGAAATTGAAGTTAGTTTTTGTTTTGGTAATCAAAAGAAATTTTTTATATTTTATTTCTAAAGGTACCAAATGAAGAAATAATATATAATTCTGTTATGTCTTGGATAAAACATGATCAAACATTTCGACAACAATATTTATTAACACTTCTACAACATGTTCGATTGCCATATCTTGGTGTTCGTTTTATTACTGATATATGTGATAATGAAGTAAAAATTTTTAAAAAAAACAAACTTTTCTTTGTTTGATAGACATTCTCTATTTCTAGGTACTAATAAGAACATCACATAAATGTCGTGATTTACTTGATGAAGCTAAACGATATCATTTAAGACCAGATTGTCGAAAAACAATGACAGGAACACGATTTATTAGTCGACGTGGTAAGTAAAAGATGAATTTTTTAAGTATAAAAATAAGATTCTTTTTTTTTATATAGGAAAAGATGAACATCTTATTGTATGTATATATATATTTCATAGTATTGAAAATTCAAATGTATTTTGGTTTGTTCATATAGGTAGCGGGAGGTTTTGGTGCTCATCAACGACCTGTAGATATTGTTGAACGATGGAATCCACGAGCAAATGAATGGACTGCTTTACAAGTTAGATAATCTTCTAATAAAAATTTTAAACTTAATGTTTTTTTTGTATTTTAGCCATTGACAAAAAGACGTCGATATGCAGCAGCAGCAGCTATTGGTAAACGACTTTATGTTGTTGGTGGTTATGATGGACGACAACGTATGAATTCTGTTGAATGCCTTGATTTATCTCAAGAAAATGCTAATTGGCAACCAGTTGCTTCATTAACTTATCGAAGGGGTAAATGATAGAATATTTTTTAAAAAATGCTGAAGATTTATTTTCATCTATCTAGCATTACCTGGTGTTTGTGTGCATCAAAGTAAATTGTTTATTGTTTTTTCGAGTTAAAAATAATCTTTTTTCGTCTAGATTTAATATATGTATGTGGAGGATTTGATGGATCGTCTCGATTAGCATCAACAGAATGTTATGATGAAAAAACTGATGTATGGACAATTGGTGAAGATATGCATGTAGGTAGAGAAGGAGCTGGTCTTGTGGCTATTGGTGATCATCTTTATTGTATTGGTATGTGTAGATTTATTTAATTAAGAACGAACATGATATAGATGAAAGAATTTTTTCAAGGAGAATAGATTATTTAGTTGTTTGTTTTTCTTCATTATTAATATTAAATATGACAGTGAAGGATTCGGAAGAATAATGATAAAAAAATTTACATGGAAATTTAGTTTGTTTAGTAAAAGAAGATTGATAATCAGAATGAATTAGATTCGTCTAGTGAATAGCAAAATGCATGAATTATTTTATAGGATACATAGAAAAATCAACAAATAGATTGTCTGAATAGATTATATGAAGATCGACTGTTTTTTCCTGTCGATAAAAATACGTCTAAATTCATTATATATTATTCGTTCGAAATTGAATCTTCTTTAATTCAATAAAACATCAAAATCTTCTTGAATGATAAATATACTTTGAAAATTTCTTTATTCATTTAGGTGGATATGATGGCCTTAGTCTGTTACAAACAGTTGAAAAATATGGTAAAAATTATTTCCTCATTTTTAATTATGTATTTATTCTGTTTTTTTTTTTGTTATTAGATATTAATCTAGGACGATGGTCTCCAATGGCACCAATGTTAACACCACGTTCAGGTAGAATTAATATCTATTCAACTTATATAATTCAATATAAATCTATAATTGAATTATTTTTCTTTTTTGTAAGGTGCTGGTTGTGCAACAATTGATCAATATATATTTGCTTGTGGTGGATTTGATGGAACAGTTCATTTATCAAGTGTAGAACGATATGATAGTCAAACAAATCAATGGACAAATGTAACAAGTATGTCTGTTCGACGATGTTATTGTGGTTCGGCATTTATTCGTGGACGAATAGCTGTTATCGGTGGTTATGATGGAACATCTTTACTTGATACAGTTGAAGTTTATGATAGTGATAAAGATGAATGGACCATTGAAAGTCAAATGTTAACACCCAGATGTGATTCAGGTTTTGCTTGTGTCGCTTATCGACAATAGAATATTTATTTATACATATGTATGCATTTATAAATATATATATATATATATATACATTGATAGTCTGTTTTCTTTCTCCAACTTTATTACCTATTATTTTTTTTGCACTGTGATGTCTATTGTGATACGATAACTCACTGTTCTCTATCGTCTTTTTTTCGTTCTTTTTTTTTTTTCTTTTGTACTTATTCTCAGATATATATTACACATATTTATACATACGTTAAAAAAATTAATACTTGTCAATACACAAGATATATAACTAAATATTTCTCGTTTTTTTTTCATTTGTAATTAGATGATGATCAGATTTCGTTTGATAGATTTTATCAAAAATCCGTTTTGACATTGAATATAAGAAGAAGAAGAAGAAAAGGAAGAAATATTCATTGATCTTATTGAACAATCATTCTATTGTTAATCGTATATTTGAATAAAAGAAAAGATTTTCAAGGAGAGAAAAAAAAATGTATATATCTTTATGATCGAACGCCTTTTATTCAAACACTTATTCTTTGATTTTACATCACAAAAGGATATTGTTAATATTATTCAATATAGTAACATACTATAACAAATACTTGAAGTGTTCTTTATTAGATGTACTTGTAATCGAAGTCAACATATAAGAATCTCAATTTCCTGGTGATAGATAAGAATAATATGAAGCGTAAAGTTTGATGAGTTCTCTGAGAGAAAATCAAAACTTTCCATTGATTATTCTAAGAATATAATATGTTGATTGACGTAATATAGAAAGATATATATATAATATATATATATGTGTGTGTACACGCAAAATAGAAAGGGGCAAAGAACAAATTGACAACGACAGCAGAGAGGCCACTTCACGATTGTTGGAATAAATTAATTTGATGACTCTCTCTCTTTCAATTGAACTGGGAGAGGGCAAGGGGAGAAAGAAATGCGGCGTCTTATTACGCCATTTCCGTTCCGTTATGAATCGATCATATATACACACACACATACACAATATGAGAGGACAATATAGAAAAGGAGGAACTAATTTGCGTGACATTTTTTTCCTCTCTCTCTCTCTCTCCTTCCTTCTCTCATACATCTCACATCTCCAATTCGATTTTCTAGATCTGTCATCATCGTCACCATCATTATTATTATCGAACGAAGATAAAATACAAAGAGGAAACGACATTTTCTTCTTTTTTCAAAGGTATTCAGAGTTAGACAAAAAAAAGGAGACCACTTTAAAACAGGCGACAAAAGGATTATGTCACTCTTGTATCAAAAGAAGTAATAATAGAGGAAAAACTGGATTGATTATTCGTCTACTTCAATGATCAATTCAGTTAGTGAAAGAGAAAAAAAGAGTGAAGACAGTATTGTTTTTTTTGCCTTGATTTATACCCACACACAAATATATATGTATACACATATTTCCGGCTACTTGAATTTTAAACTAACTTCAACCATCGCGTCCGTTGTCATTGTCATAAAAAAAAATCTGTCCATATGGCGATCGGCAACAACCACTTGAAAAAGCAATGCATTCCATCATACATATACAATTACCTGAAGAGTGTGCGCGGTCCACACTTCCTGTTCAATCAATAGAACGGAGCACCATTTCTTTTAATAGGTAGAATATTGAGAACATATTGAAAATAAATGTATAAAACTTGAAATTATATATATATCTCATACTCATTTAAATGGTCGTTTTTTTTCAATTAGATGAGATTCTTTTTCTCTGATCCTTTTTATTAGAATTTGATTCTCAATCAATTCAAGATCTCAATATTGGACATTAACTAGTACAATCATTTTACCGGACATAGGACAATTATATGTATATAATGATCGGCAACGATGGAATAAGTTTTTCTTTTTTTTGTTCTTCATTTGCTTTTTTTGTTATATTGTCTAAATGTACAACTCTTTTAGTCTAGTGTCGGGTTCAAAAAATAAATAGACCGAAGAACGATGAACGCAGGAAAGAACGAGAGGGAGAGAGAGAGAAATGAGAGAAGAGAGAGAAAGAGAAAGAGAAAAATCATGGAGTGGGTGGGCGCAATGCACTCACCCTCTATCGCGTCTCATATATTGGAAAAATCGCAAGCCATACAGACACATATACATTGTGCAGTAGCTAATTTTCTTTTTTTTCATTTCAACGTTTGATCTTATCGAAGTGCACATATATACACACAAATATATTTCGCTAGATTAACCATTCTCTATATACCATGATTGTCTCAATTATCCTTATATTATTTCTTCAATTTATTTATTCAACTGCTGCAACAGCAAATGATATCGCTAATATTCGGTATAGTTCTTTAATATCAGCACAATGTAAAGCACGCTGTTTATATGAATATCGAAATCATCATCATCAACAACGTTCGGTACCAGCTACATTCAATAATGAAAAATCGAAAAGAGTACTGGTGAGATCAAAAAAGAAAACCTTCTTTATCTATAATTGACACTCAAAATTAGTCTTTGCCCACCTAGTGAGGCTATCACCTGTGAATGTTACATGCTGAGACAAGGATATATATTGATAGACTTTTCCTTCGAGGTTAAGAAAACATGCACACTATGTAGTTTTGTTTATTTAATCAAGCTTTTTGCTTAGAAATAATCTCAAGGAAATACAAAAAAAAGAAATCTGGAATTGACATAATGAAAAAAAATATTGATCTACTTTGATCTAAAATATTTTCTTTTAAATTCTTTTTTTCTAATTGCTAATGAGGGTATTTCTTTTTGTCGTTGAATTTATATATGTATATATAAAACATTAAACACCTTTCTTTTCATCTTCGTTTGAGCAATGCACAATTAAGCCTCAAGATATGTACATTCACTTTACTCTGTCGATTAAGCTATTTGACAAACAAAATTAGTTCGAAGAATATCAAATTTGATTTTGTTTCAGTTATTATAAGAAAAAACATAAAAATGAAGGTGTTATTTATCCATATATACAGGTGCTTCCGTTTCTCATTTAGTTTAGACTTTAGCTTTTTTTT